TTCCTTTCCCTCGGCGATTTATCTTTCTTTACAAATATCCCTTTTCATTGCTTCTCTGATATCCACCCAGGCTCCTTTTTTGCTCGTCTCAGCATTCCTTTCTTAACCAGTATTGGAAGAATCCCAGTTTTTACAGTCTAGAACCTTAATGTTTGGCAAGATTAAAGATGTATAAGAATGCATTTATATTTCTTATAATTCTACTTCAAGAATTTGGATATGGGATGAGGGGTATTTTGGAACCTGGGCTCTGAGAGAGATGGCTAGTCTCTAATCCTGTTCTTTCTTACCTTAGGCAGGCAAATTCACAGGAAAAGTTAAGCCCCTGCTTCAAACTCACCTGCCTACTTCAAATCCTAGTTCTGTGGCTTCCTAGCTGCCAATGGATAAATTGCCTCAGCTCTCACTACCTGATTGCACTCTTTTAAAACAGAGGAAAAATTGATTCCTAACTCATAGACTTGACTTGAGGATTAAGTGCGATCAACATTTATATGTAAACCAGCATCTGGCACATGGTGAGCTCTCAATATCTACAAACTGTTATTATCATGTGGCTTTAGGCACATTACTTAATCGCTCTTATTATTCCCACTTTACCAAGGAGGAAAATTAGATGAATGTTACTTTCCTTAAAAACTCATTTTGAGGATTAATTAAGATAATGCTTATAAATACCAAACAGTACCTGACACAAGAGTTTCTCAATACCCACTAGCATTTGTCATCATAATTACATGTACTATTCCAAACATTTCTACCGGTGAGTCCCTCACAACTTCTACTTCTTCTCTCTTGATCCCCACCTTCACAACTTCTCTCTTGCTCCTGATCAACCCCACCAAACATTTGTACCTTGTATTTCTTTGCTTGGTATAAGTGCGTGCAAGTTCCTTACATTGATTTCCTTTTGCAGTATTGGGCCTCATTGCTTCCCCTTGATGATTGTTAACTGCGTTCCTGGTGACACCTTGTGTCCTGGAGTCACAGTACTTTATGGAAGTTGCTGCAGCCTAAGTGTTTGCACTAACTTAGGAAGTGAAGACACTAACAAGTCCCTTGTTAGCAGAGGTGACACAGAGTCCAGGCAGCAATAATTACATGTGTCTAGCTAAGACAGGAGATAGTTCACAATGCCTAGTGACATTTATGGCTGTCACAACTGTGAGGATGCTATTATATCTAGAAGAGGTCAAAGACACCACTAAATATTCTGCAGTGCATAGCAGAGCCTCTCCCCTCTAACCAAACACCTGGTCAGAAAACATGAACAGTGCTAACTCCTCCAAGAGCCCTGAGGTGAATGCTGCCCATACTTCAGAAAATGGACAATGGCTTCTCTTGGCCTGAGAGAGGCAGGGAGGGAGAGAGGAACAAAGGAAGGAAGGGAAGGGGAGAACAAAGAAGAAAGGGAGAAAAAAAGAAAATGGAGAAAGAGGATTAGGGTTCCTGTCCCTAGGAAGCTTACTGTCTGATGAGCTGTGCACTAGGAAGATTTATTCTATTCATACCTGATAGCATAAGGAAATAAATTACGAATGTCCTCTTAAACAAATGCACTCTGTGGGCTTGTATCTGCAAGCAAGCTTCAAAACTGGGAAATTCAAATGGGATTGGAAAATAAGTAGATTCTGATCTGTTTAGCGTCAGTGGTGCCTCTCAGTCTGGGTTTCTCATTTCTCTACCTCTTTGATCTCTGTATTTTGTGTGTATGTATGTGCATGCATGCGCGTACACACACACACACGCACACTTACAAACACTGCTTATACTGTATCTTTGCCTCTCTTCATCTGTCTTTTTCTTTCAGTCTCTGTCTCTTTCTGTCTTCTTCTTCTCCTTTCCCTGTTTCTGTGCCACACTGCTCATCCTTCTTTTGTCTGTTCAGTCAGATCCTTCTTTTAGCCCCACTCCTTTCATAAGGCTAGAAGAATTTCTTCTATGACCAAACAAGAAAGATAATCTTTTCTTTCCTATTCCAGATGTAGGAATCCAGATGATGTCCTCTAAATTGTTCTAGGGTGTCTTGATTGCCATAGTCATGGTGTCTCATGACAGTGCAGAATCATAGAACATCATGGCTAATTAGAAGAATAGGCTACTGCAAATATTGGGCAGCCTAGTCAACAACACATGATATGAGTTAGGTAGAAGAGATCTTTGCAGGGTAGAAAGTGAAAAGGATATTGAGCATGCTGAAACTACTGGTAAGCCAAAAACAACTGAAGAGAGGAAAAACCCAAAATAGTGATCATAATGATCAAGATACTCAATTCTTAAGAAATGGGAAGAAGAGAGAAGGTTTGCAGAAGGACTTGATTCTTGGTTTCAGCCTTGAAGTTGTGTAGGGTGTTAGAGAGATGGAAGGGCATGGGTGAAAGAATAGTTTCTCTGCTTCCTTTATTGGTGTGTTATTGGTATAAGTTCCTAAGGGAAAAGGACTCTGTTTCTTTGTTTATAGAGCATAGCATCTAATTGTAATAACCACAATTAGGCTTAGTCATTGTGGTTCCAAGTGGGTTTGTGCTGGCCTGCCAAGGATGAGGGAGAGAGGATAGAACAGAGCACCAGAGAATCCTCTAATCCTGAGAATAGCCACTCACTCAGAAAGACACAAAGAGGCTGCAAAGCAGAGGAGGTGTTAATATAGTCCCTTCTGGTACTCTCAGTCTTCTTTGTGTCTGACTTCAAGCAAGAGCCAGTTTGAATGTTGGCATTATCAAGGTAGATTGGATTGCTTCTTGAAAGGCACACAGGGAGCACATAATATGTACTCGCCATGTATTTTGTCAGTGGTTCAAAAATAAATAAAGACAATCTTCTTCTTTATAGAAGTGAGTTAGCACTTGCATAAGGGTTGTGCTTATTCCTTGAAATCACAAATACTGCTGCTCAAACTTGACTGCACAGGGGAAATCCCTGGGAGTTTAAAACAACTAACTGATGCTATGGTCCAGTTCTCATAGGTATTGGCTTTATTGGTTTCACAAGGGACATGGCTACTGTGTGTTTCTGAGCCTCAGTGTTTCTCATGAGCAGCCACTATGGTGAACCAGTAAAGCAGGGATGCTATGGGAAGAGAAGAAGTATTCCTCAGTGAGATGAGGGGAGGAATCTTGCTGGAGGAATAAAGCCAAGTGGGTCTGAAGGAGAGGGACCTGAATGGGCAGGGAGATGGCTGGATAAAAAGCACATTGGAGTTGCTTCCCAAGAAGTCAGGATGGCTTTCTCCTTCTGGCTTAGTTCCTGTGTGACCTTAGATGAACATAAAGTTCTTCATGCCTCAGTTTCTCTTCCAGACATAGTTGACTGATGATGCCTGTTCTTGCCTCGGGATTAAATGAGGTAGATAAACAGAAAAGGTAGTATAATAATTATTATTAAGAAAAACCAATCATTAGGGTAATGCCTCATTTATTTAGCTTTTCTGGGAAAAGAAGTATTGTCTGTAAGTGAGATTCTCAGAGGACTGAACTTTTACCTTTCAAGATGTAACCATTTTAATTAGTTAGCATAGATTTATTGTTTCAAATGTTTTCATTGCAGTATTTCTATACAGTGTATGTGATTCTTTGATCAAATTCACCTGTTATATTACTCTCCTTTAACCATTCCCTTCTGTATTTATTTGTTGCAATTTTAAATGAGTTTCATCATTTATTGTATTCATCGCTCCCTCCAATCAACATCTCCTACCGCCTCCCCTCTTTCTGGTTCAATCACCCAATAATACTCCTATTACATCTATGTCAAGACAAGATCATTTTATTTTAACCAACCCCAAGTCATTTTATCTTCTTTAAAGTTTATCAGTTGCAAGTAGACTTTCTTTAACAAAGAAACATGATACCATTATCCCTGCTTTCTTCTTTCTGTGTCTTTAGATCCTCAAGTTAGATGTGAAACACTGAACTGTAGTGTCATAACATAGTAACATCCCAGGGCATTGAGAAGAATAGGGTTTTATGATTTGGGAGACTGGGTTTTAAGTTCTTAGGTCTGTTTTTCTTGCTACCTAGTTATCAGTTGTTAAATCTTCCCAACTGTTAATTTAGTCACTGTTTCTAACACGCTGTTTCTTACCTGTTGAAGATTGGAAAACCAAAAAACCAGTTTTAACATGCTGTTGAAAATAGCAGTAAATGGACCATGAATTTAAACTGGTCACAGAGAGTGGCTTATGTGCTCTCTAGCTCACACATGAGTTAGGGTATCTCTGTACTTGTTGTTGACTGGATTTGACTGGCCTTAAGGCAGAATACAGCTGCCCGGGCTTTCCATGTAGAAGCTGAGAAGGATGATTTTTTTTAAGGAATTCTCAGCTTTCATTCTTCTATTGATTGGTCAGAGACCTTTATGATTTCTTTGCCCAATTAAAGAATTAAAGAACTTTGTCTTGTCCAACCAGGCTTGGAATGTTTTGTGCCAAATAGTTATTTATAAGGAAGGATACACAAATCAGGGTAGATAAAACAAATCAGGAGGGCACACACTGAAGCCAACAGAACATGGTAGGAAATTCTGCTCCGAGACACAAGTGTTGGAAAGTAATCAGGGTCTTAGAATATAGCTCCGTGGTAGAGCACTAGCCCAACATGCATAAGGCCATGGATCTGTTTCTAGTGTCCGTAGGGGGAGGTGAGAGAAGAAAGTCAAGACTGAGGAGACAGATGGGATACCAGGGGAACATCTGTGAAGGTGCAAGATGGTAGAGAAGGGTCAGGGACAGAGGTTTAGACCAGTATCACCATGGATATTGTATACTTCTGGTTGTTTGTTTACTAGGTGACCCCACCCTGGGACGTTTGCATTGTGAGCCTTGCAGGTGGCAGGTTTTAGGTCAGATAGACTGCTAAAGCTGCCAGTGGCCTTATTCTTTCAGCCACCAAGGTACAAGGACATTCCTATTTGAATGATGGATTTCTGAATAATACAGCCCCAAATGCTTCCTTCTCACTCTCCTGGTCCTTGCTGAGCATGTCTCTCCTTTCCTTCCTCAGGTCAGTGGCTGGATTGGATAAGGAGGCGGACCTGGTGCACATGGAAGTGAGGACGGCAGATGGATGTGAGTGCTCCTGCAGGACAGGCTAAGTCCAGGATTGCTGCCCAAGGGTCTCTCTCCTCCCCCAATTTGCATTTTAATGACTTGGGAAGATGAAAAGCCCTGAACTCCATTACTGCCATATCCATCCTTGTGGGGGGGGGGAATGAGGGGGGAAAGGGAGAGACTTCCAGTCTCAAGGGAGACATTGCATTGAAATAAACCCTCAGGAATGAATTTCCTGGGGATGTGAGTTAGAGTAATGAATTTTGAGACTCCTATTAGTAATTTCCTTGGCAGTTTTGGTGTAATTCAGATACAGGCATCCATATCTCGTCTAGTTTTTTACATTCCCATGGTGAATTGCAGGGGCCATTTGCTTTAATAGAATAAACCCTTCGTATGGTCAAGCTTATCAGAAAATACAAAGGGAAATTATTCTCAAGCATGTTTGTTCATCTATTTGCCAGGTATTTATGTGCCAGGCATTGTTCTAGGCCTTAGAGATACAGTAGCAAGCAATGTTTTCATTGTCCCTGAATATAAAGGGCTCCATTCTAATAGTGGAATTCCAAGACTTTAAACATTATAGCTGTGAACATCTCACATAGCATTAGTCCTTCTCAGAAAGGATTGTACTTCCAGAATCAAAGAAAAAAATAAAATCAACCTAAATAAAAATCTATGCAAACATAATTAGCATCTCCTGGGTTCAAAATAAAGCCAACGAGTACAATGGAGTTGATCTATAAGTAGAGTAGAATAAGTACCTGCCTGTGAGTTGGGGTTCTAACCTCTCTGGCCTGGTGACTTCTTCTGTGATCCAAAATACTCTCTTCACCCTGCTCACCTCACAAGGTTCTGGGTTGACCAAATAGAAGAAGTTAAAGTAACTATGAAATGTACAAATAGAAGGAAATTCTGTTTTGACCTGGCTGTGGGCTTTGCGGTATCATTGAAGAATACACTAAATAAAACTGTGTGTGCTTTATCTGAGAAAAATGGATGTGAGGTCAGCCACAGATGCAATATAGAAGCACTCATTTGGGGCTGGGGATTTGTTTTTATTTGCCTCCTATTTATTTATTTATTGTTGGTCGCATGGCTTGAACTCTGGGCCTGGGCCCTCTCTCTCAGCTCATCAGCTCAAGGCTAGTGCTTTACCACTTTGAGCCACAGAATTACTTCCAGTTGTCTGTGGTTTATTGGAGATAAGAGTTTCACAGACTTTCCTGCCTGGGCTGGCTTTGAACTGCAGTCCTCAAATCTCAGCCTCCTGAGTAGCTAGGATGACAGGTGTGAGCCACCAACCCCCGGCCCTTTCTTTTATTTTTAGAAATGTTAGAAAGCAAACATAACTTGTTACTATATGTTCAACACTCTACCTCCTGCCCTCCTTCCCTCCCTCCTTCCCTCCTTTCCTTCTCTCTCTCCCTTCCTTCCTAATTTCTTTCACTTAATACTCAACTAATTTCTGAGACAGGCTAGTTATACTCCACATTCTTTTTTGTTTATTTTTCAACAGAATAGCAACTATAGATTTCAGAGGGTTATATCTCCTTGTTCCTGTTCACAAGGGTGGTTGAGTCTGGATATCTAGTTGTCTAATCTGACTCAAACCATACAAGTTGATGCTGAGAATGAAACTGGGAGTACAGGTCGCTGTGGTAAGTAGGGTCAACACGCAGGAAAACAAGAGGAAAGCAGAGAGCTGGTCTTGCGCATGACCTGCAAATCAGTTTTCGGTACCAACCCGCACTGGCTTTGCTTTCATTCCAAACATGTCAAGTCACATATAGGATCTCTGGTGGTCATAGCATTTTCATAGTTGGTAGAAATGTTGTAGGATTGTCTTACTTCCCTGCCTGGTATGGGAACATCATTGCAAAGCCTCTGATGGTATGTTCTCAGCTCGCAGAGCCCAGGTTTGAGACATATCCTGCTCTACGTCTGCATAGCAACTCTTTTGATTTTTCCTAGTAATTTCTTACATGAAGCGTAAATTTATTTTGTGAATGTTCAAGAATTCTGGCCAAAAATTGAGATTCAAGCCTGTGGTGTAGGAATCCTTTGAAATTTTTCTAGCATGAAAAATACAAAACATAGAGAACATTCTCTGGCCTCCTGTCAAAATTCCAGAGTCAAGGAAGAAAAAAGAAAAGAAAAGAAATTAAAAATAGAAGCATGACAGGAATAAATGTCATGTCGTGTTTGACACTCTGGTTACAGTAATAGTAGGCATTAGTTTCTACCTTTTTAATTCCGTTTTTCAACAGAGAGCCATCTTTCCACTTAGTAAATTAGCTCTTACCCTGCTTTATGTAGAATGTGCACATAGGTGATCTGAATGACTGGGAGCGCTTTATTTTACATACCACAAGAAAATGCATGACACCCTTCCTCGTGGTGAGTGGTGAATGCTTTCTTACCCACAGGTACTCACATTCTCATCACCTCCATACTTGGATCATCACAGATGTCTGTTACATATACTTTAATTGCTCTTTTTAGGACACAGTGACTTTAATTAAAATTTGCAAAAATTATTGCAACTAGTTAGTGATAGAAGAGGAAAAAGCTATTAGCAAAAGCCACTCAAGAAGCTAAAAGTACAAGGGAACTCCTGATAAAGAACATCTACAACAGTTAACATCATGTTAATAATTAATAACATCATACTAATTTCTTGCTGAGAAAAAAGAAAGAGGCAGGTCTATTCACTCTTGTGGCTTCCTTCAACCCCTGATTAAAGTCTTAGCCACTGAAATAAAGCAAGAAAACTAAAAGACGATGCATAGAGATTGATAACTAGTTCTTCCATTGACATGGCTCATGGTAGCCATTTACTCACATGTGGGTAGAGAGTCTTGGAGCTGCACTGTGCAAATTTTAAGTGAGAAATATATACCAGGTTTCAAAGATTACCTAAGATAAAGGATGAAAAAATAGCTTTTTAATAATTTTTATGTCAATTATAGGCTGAAATTATTTATTTAGGGAGATGTGTGGCTCAAATAAAACATTCTGAGTTTCACTTTTCTATTTGTTTTTTAAATATTTCTCTGGTAAATTGAAGCAGTGATGTGTGGCTTATATCACTTGTCTCTCTCAGTCAGCTATTGACAATGGACCCCCTGGAATATCAGCATGGTGTCACAGTATGACACTGACAGCCCAGTCACTAATGCTGGGTCCAATAGCCTGGAGCAAACCTAGCCTAAGCTGGTCTCCATCCTCATTTAGATGTAGGAAATCTCTCATCTGTTCCTGTTTTGGTTTACCTCTTTGGAAGTCAGACAACCAGATGAAACTAAAAACATTGAATGATCCCCTTTGCATCCAGAGTTTAATCAAGACAAAGCCAACAGATCAAAAAAGTATAAATCTGTTTCTGCCATGAGATTCAGGCTGAAAATGTCTTTTTCTTCCTTTGTCATTTGGAAATTTATCTTTCTTTGAATATCCTCTGTATATTCTCTCTTTTTCTACCTGGCACAGAGTTACTAAGATACAGATAAATGCATCCATGTACGCTCTCTCTATTCCAGAGACAATTGAGTTGCAATAGTATATCCCCTTCCACATTCACAGATCACTCAACAGAGAATTCAGTAACCGTAAGAAAAGCATCCACTTGGAGACATGAGTTGGCAAATTTAACTCTCTGGTTTAGAAAGTGTTAGACTTCAGAACCAATTCAGAAGCTTCCTGTAATTCCTTCATCTAGTGCATTATCTCTCTGAAAATGCTAATGAGCATATGAAGTGTTTTAATAGTTCACTTTTTCATCAATTCCCTAAAAAGATTTTATTGTAGAGTAAAACTGATAGAGGCAGTTTTTAGTTCTCTAAACAAAAGAGTAACAAGTAAGAGAACCCAAAATGTCAGGCCACTCTGTGGTCGAGTGAGTGCTTTTTCAGTGGAAATCCTCACAAATAAAGTAGAATAGTGGCACAAAGAAACACTGTGATAAACCAAAAACAACATGGGCAAAACATTGAGACACCTACCCATCCTGAAATTTTAGAGTCAAAGCCCGTTTCGTGCATTTCATCATTCCTTCTGTTTGTCCCATCATTGGCTTGCATCGGTCACAGACTTGCTAAGTTACGGCAGAGCCTAACACTTCTTAATGGAGCATTGCAAGCAGACATGGGTAATCAAATGAGCTTGCCACACAAGGTGAAACAATTAGCTTTGCAGACTAAACTCCAGGATCCAGAAACAGATGATTGACTCCTTAAGGACCTTAGATTATTGATTAGTTCAATGATTTTTCAACCTATATAACTCAGAGCTCTAGCAGCTTTTAGAACTCAGAGACCCAATATGAAAATACATCAATGGAACAAGAGACCACTTGCTTTCCGTTCTTTTCCTAAACTCCATATCAAGAATATAGGATACCAGATTATCTCTTTTTAAAAAAGATTTCAGATTATAAAACAGGAAGTAAATAAGAGTTTTTCAAATGACAGTCATTTAGAATATGCCTAAAATCACACAGTGAGCCACAAACAGGAACTAACATAAAATCTGGATTCTGGTCTAATCCTCAGCATGATTTTCCTCCTGTGTTTCAAATAGCATACGAGTTAAGATCATAGATAGCATTCCAAATCTCAAACATTTTTACCTAAGTTTACATTGCTCTGTGCCTCTGTTTGCTCATCTCTAACCTGGGAATAATTTTTGGATTGTTTCAGAAATCAAATAAGTGAATGTGTGTCACTTCTAGAGTACTAGAAAACACTTGAGCACTTGAATATGTTGTTACCATCATTATCATCCTCCTCCTCCTCTTCATGTTTTTGTCAATATTATATTATCATCATTGTGTTGTCATCATTATCATATCTTCTTACCATTGTCATATCATTATCATATTCAGAGTCAGATTATTTGTCAAGTAGAATAGAAAGAGTCTTGAATAGTGCCTTAAAAGTATTCAAGGATTATTATGATTTCTAAATGTCTATAAGTTTTCCAGATTGTCCTCTGTTCTCAAGGCAGATAATGCTGTA